ACTTCTTCTTTTTTTTTTTTAAATTTTTTTAATGTTTTTATTTATTTTTGAAGGAGAGAGAGAGAGCATGAGCAGGGGAGGAGCAGAGAGAGAGGGAGACGCAGAATCAGAAGCAGGCTCCAGGCTCTAAGCTGTCAGCACAGAGCCCGATGCGGGGCTCAAACCCACAAACTGTGAGATCATGACCTGAGCCGAAGCCAGACGCTCAACCGACTGAGCCACCCAGGCGCCCCGCAAAATTGAATTTCTATACCCATTGAACACAAATTCCTTTCACCCTTTCCCCAACTCTTGGCAACCATTTTTCTACTTTTTGTTTCTATGATTTTGACTTATTTTATTTACTTAAAATATTTATTTATTTAAGTGATCTCTATACCCAGTGTGGGGCTTGAACTTATGACCCTGATATCAAGAATTGCATGGTCCTCCAACTGATCCAGCTAGGCACCCCAATTTTGATTACTTTAAATATATATTTTTTTAGTGTTTATTTATTTTTGAGAGAGAGAGAGAGGGAGGGATCAGGGGAGGGGCAGAGAGAGAGAGAGGGAGACACCGAATCTGAAGCAGGCTTCAGGCTCTGAGCTGTCAGCACAGAGCCTGACACGGGGCTTGAACCTGCAAGCTGTGAGATCTTGCCCTGAGCCGAAGTTGGACGCTTAAGCGACTGAGCCACCCAGGTGCCCCAAGAATTGATTACTTTAGATACTTCACATGAGTGGAATCATATAGTATTTGTCCTTTTCTGACTGGCTAATTTCACCTGTGTCCTCCTCGTTCATCTCTGTTGTAGCTTCTAACAGAATTTCCTTATGTTTTAAGGTTGAATAACATTCCACTGTATGGATATACACCATATTTTCCTTTTTTTGTTTTAAATTTTTTTTTAACATTTATTCATTTTTGAGAATGAGAGAGACAGAGCATGAGTGGGGGAGGGGCAGAGAGAGAGGGAGACATAGAATCCAAAGCAGGCTCCAGGCTCTGAGCGTCAGCACAGGGCTGGACACAGGGCTCGAACTCACGGACTGCGAGATCATGACCTGAGCTGAAGTTGTACACTCAGCCGACTGAGCCATCCAGGCGCCCCTACACCATATTTTCTTTATACATATGTGTATAAAATACAAAAAATAATTTGAGGAATACTTTCCATACTGAACTGCAACCATTTAAGGTACAATTCAGTGAATTTCAACAGATGTATTACTGTGAAACTGCCTGCACCATCACATTATAGGACGTTTCCATTAACTTCTAAACATTCCTTGCTCCCCTCTGATCTCAGACAACCACTGACTACCTTTATATTAGTTGACATTTTCCAAAATGTCATATGCATAGAATCATGCGGTGTGTACTCTCTTATATCTGGCTTTTCTCATGCATCATCATGATCCTGAGATTTCATGTTGGGAGAGTCAGTAGTGTATTTTCAGGAAACTATTTTAACATCTACTGTCTGCCTTCTAACTACCTGTGGTTCTGCCCAAGATTCCCCATCTCTAGTGCTGCATTTCTGTCATCTCTGGCCTGGGGGCCTCTAATGGCCTCCCTTCCTCCATTCTGCCCTCTTACAACCCCTTTCCCTGAAGCTGCCGAGGTAAACTTCATAATAAGCACATCAGACTGCTCAAATACATCAGTGGCTTTGTGTGACACAGAGGCTCAAATCGATCTCGTGTGGGTCCGGCCCCTGTTGTGCCCCCCAGAATCATTTTGCATGCCCCTCTCACTTGCTTCCTGCATCCTATCTGCATTAGACTTCCTTTGAGCCTGTCCCTTGGTCTCCCTCAAAAGGCAGTCACCCTGTACCTGTCCATTGGCCCCGAGCCAGCCACAGGGTGGCTTTACTTTTGTTTGTGAGAGCCTTTGATTAGCTCCCTCTGGAGTGTAATTCCCACAAGGTCAGGCAGCTCTGTTGCTGCCTGTTGCTGTGTCTGTATACCTGGCACAGCGTTGGCACTCCCTACATGACTGGCCTTTGGGCTGCCTCCATCATGAACGGCTGCTTTCTGCACGTGTACAAGCTGAGCCTTCTCTTTCTGGCGTTGGCAGGATGAGCAGCTGAGGACCCTGGTAAGGCAGTTCGGACAACAAGACTGGAAGTTCCTGGCCAGCCACTTTCCTGTGAGTGCAGCCCCTCAGTGGCCCCCTCCGTCAGAGATAAGGGTTCTGGGTGACCAGACAGTGTGCCTGGGACAGACTTTCTGTCAAGGAGAAGAGGGTATTTCTTACCAAGCTACCCCTGCTCCCCCTATAAAATAAAACAAGCTTTCTAGACCCTTTCTTCCCAAGCCAGAATTTGAGAGCCCCTGTCATAAGCATCTCCACACAGCAGCCTTTGCAGGCCCGATGGTCTTTAGGCTCTCTGTGGTCTGCAGTATGTGACCAGTGGCACATTTGCATTTCTTCATTCAAGAAGTGCAAAGTCTCAACAGTGAGACTGAAACCGAAGGGAAGTGATACTTTCGTCAGGCTTCCTGGCGAGCATCTCCCCCCGCAAACAGCTAGAACCTCCTGGGGATGCGGGTCCCCCATATCCCCACCCCTAAGACTGCAGGTGTCATAGGCAGGGGATGTGGCAGGAGCTACTCTGTGGCTTATTTCCTGAGTTACTTGGCAGCTCACGGACCAAGTCAGCAGACCCTTTCTACCCCAGTCCTCGCCTTCCCTACTTCCATGAGGTCTAAAACCTTTAGGGGACTAATGCTTTCTCAGAAGCAAAACCCCTGGCATATACCACCAGCTTCTATAGGAATTTATGGCTCATGATGGCAGCCTCCTTGTGTTGGGGGATGGGAGGTAACTTTGTACAGGGAAACCCTGTGTGTGGCATGGGGGAGTGCAGTGAATGGTGGGTGAAGGGAACAAGACAGAACCTGTCTGAGGTAGGCATGGCCCCTTAAACCCAGTGCTCAGCCAGGGTCCAAGGCTGCTGTCCTAGGAACCCTCACAGGTTCCTGTTCTCTTCCCAGAACCGCACTGACCAGCAATGCCAGTACCGGTGGCTGAGGGTCTTGAATCCAGACCTGGTCAAGGGGCCATGGACCAAAGAGGAGGACCAAAAGGTAACTATCGGGACAGTGCCTTGCACACAGTGGGCCTTCACCAGAGGATCAAGGGATGATGAGTCTGTCCTGGGGGTCGGCTGGGGTGTCTGACTGGCCCCTCTCAGGGCCGTGATAAGGTGAGGCTCACATGGAGGGAAGGTGCTGTGGTGGGCGTGAGGGAGGGCCATGTCTCCCTGACTTCACAGGGGACTTTTCCAAGGTCATCGAGCTGGTCAAGAAGTACGGCACAAAGCAGTGGACGCTGATCGCCAAGCACCTAAAGGGCCGGCTGGGGAAGCAGTGCCGTGAGCGCTGGCACAACCACCTCAACCCTGAGGTGAAGAAGTCCTGCTGGACTGAGGAGGAGGACCGCATCATCTGTGAGGCCCACAAGGTGCTGGGCAACCGCTGGGCCGAGATCGCCAAGATGCTGCCGGGGAGGTGAGCTGCTGGGGGCCGGGGGCCAGAGCAGGCAGGGATGTTCCCGGGAAGGGAAGGCGTCCTCTGGCCTTTTGGGGGGATGTACCAAGAGCCAGTCTGATTATTCTGTGGTTGTTCACTTTTCCCAGAAATGAATGAATTCTTCAGATTCTTGCCGGGGGGTGCCCGGGCCTGGCTGTAGACAGTTCTGGAATAGGGCAGGGAGAAGGAGCCTGGGGACCTCCCATTCTGTGTACACATTTCTCATTTGGTCCCTGTTGGAGCTCTGTGCACCATCCCTGCCCTCTGCCAGGGTTTTGAGGTCTTTTTTCTTTTTTTTAAAATTTTTTTTTTTTTTTTTTTTTTTTTCAACGTTTATTTATTTTTGGGACAGAGAGAGACAGAGCATGAACGGGGGAGGGGCAGAGAGAGAGGGAGACACAGAATCAGAAACAGGCTCCAGGCTCTGAGCCATCAGCCCAGAGCCCGACGCGGGGCTCGAACTCACGGACCGCGAGATCGTGACCTGGCTGAAGTCGGACGCTTAACCGACTGCGCCACCCAGGCACCCCTTGAGGTCTTTTTTCTAGAGAATAAACCTCTCTCTTCCTGCCTGTGTGGTCAGGACCAGGACCTAGACGTCAGAATCACTGCTCAGTTTTCTATTCCTTGCTGGACCTGATCCCTTCAAGAAGCTCTTGGGTTTCTGGGGAAGCATTGGGAAGACTTGGCTCCATTCTTGCCAGAATCTTCCTCCAGGGTCAACTCCCAGTCTCCTAAGTTGCTTATTGATCCCCTAACTGCTTTCCATCTTCTGGAAACAGAAAAATCTCTTATTTGCAGCTGTGTTCTATCCTGGTCTCTGTGTCCTTGTGCATTTCCCCCATATTCAGTTCTTAATCCTTTGTCTGTTATGGCATTGTGGTCCTGGGATGGAGAGAAGATAAAATGCCAGATGGTGTATTTCCCCTGAAGTCTGGAATGGTCTAGTTTCAAAATTCAAACCCAGTGTGTTACTCTTCTGATGCTTCTAATACTTGGGTTGAAGACCCGGTCTCTTTCCCAGTGTGGCCTGCTTGTCCTGGCTCATGCCACCAGCCTGGCCTTGATGCACTGTCACCCTGCCTTACCTGTTGGGCTGTAGCCGCTCTGCCCTCCTCTCAGCCCTGCAGCCATGGCAAGCTCCTTCTGAGGAGCTCCTTGTGGTCCTATGTCGTCCTGGAACACACTCAGCGTGTGCCCCTTGTATAGCCAACACAGTCTTCTCCTTCAGTCCCTGGTGGGGGATGTTATTTTCTCAGAGAAGGTTTCTCTCTTTCCAGACTGTGTTCGTTTCCCCAGCGACCTCCCCTTAGCGCCCACACCCCTGTGTGGTCAGTGCTCTGTCCTGACAGCCTCAGTGGGAGTGTTTGGAGATACAGACCTTCCTCTTTTTTTTAAAAAAAAGTGTTGGTTTTTTTTGATGTTTATTTATTTTTGACAGAGAGAGACAGAACATGAGTGTGGGAGGGGCAGAGAAAGA